AGAGAGAGAGAGAGAGAGAGCACAAGAAACAACAGACCTTAAAATGATAAATTGTATCATACTTTATATTTAAAACAATAACAAATAAAATAAATAATAGCATAGTGTTATTTTCCGACATTTTTTTGTGCTTTATTTTATTTTTAAAATGTTAAATCTTTAATCAATATTCTATATAAAGAAAGATTAAATAACTCGTAGATTTTGCAATTATATTCCAACTTGCAAAATGTATATTTTATATCATTATATATTTCTACATTTGTATATTTGTCATTAAATTTTCTCAAATTTTAGTAAATTTCAACAGTTTCTATTAATACAACAGTCGGCATCTCGCAGAGAAACATTCACATCACAAAATGACTCTAATAATGCTTTATCAATTTATGATATCATATCTACAAACGGTCATTATAAGGTAGCAAATAATAGATAAGTTGTCATGCTTTTAAATCATTAGTTGTTGCAACATACAGCTACTGTTGACACCAAAGAATATGATTTAACTTTTTATCAAGGTGTAATTTTATCATATATAAATTGTAATTTATAAGTAAATACTAGAAGATAAAACAGTTAAAGGAACGATTTAAGAACTCTGATTATAATGAATCGTATCTCACCGACGCTTGCTTTTTCCACCAATAGATATGTTAGTGCATCTCCAGCAATCCCCAGCTCCCATAAATCAATAAAATAATGAACTTTTGCACACAACAGATGTCTCTGGTAAAGACGAGCTATCAACAATATGATACAATATGTTCAAATCAAAATATTAATTCTATTTTTCTCTTTTCAATAGATACTTCGACTGTTAAAATTATTTGTGTAAATTAATTTTATTCGTTTATCTATTAATTTATTGATACCAACATTGTAATGCTCCTTAAGTAATATCAAGACACGATAGAAAAAATACTTTCTATTTTTATTGATAATAATTCTCTTAAAAACTTTAGAATGTACAGTTTCTTTACTGTGATGCATTGAAATCTTATATTTTAAACAAAACAAATAGTCTAGAATATTAAAATGAACATTTTATTCATTTTTATGCGTTAGAATCTTGTATCACATAAATATAATATAAGATTATAAGATATAAAAATAAATAAACTTTATTTTAACATTCTAGACCTTTTCTTTGTTTAAAGTATAAGATTTCAATGTATCACAACAAAAAAAAATATACATTGTAAAGTTTTAACTTACCAAATGTTATAAAATTGTATTTATTTTATTCATCTTTTGGCTTAGAATCTTATATGATATCGTTATGATAAAAGATTCTAAAACATAGAAATGAATAAAATGTTTATTTTAACATTCTAGATCGTTTCTTTGTTTAAAATATAAGATTTTAATGCATTGCATCAAAGAACATTCTAAAGTTCTAATCTAATAAATGTTATAAGATTATATTCATTTTATTCATTTTTATGGCTTAGAATCTTATATCATATCGTTATGATAAAAGATTTTAAAGCATAAAAATGAATAAAATGTTTATTTTAACATTTTAGAAATCCGGTGAGATGTTGGAAGGTGAGAAGGGAAGTTAGCATCTCATTTCTTGAAATTTCATTTTCTTGTTTTTTTGGCGTAATTCGATAGAACTATTGCAAAAAACTATCCAGAACTGTAGAACTATAGTGTATGCGAGCAAAACTGTCGTTTGTTATGCGATGCCAAAAATGGCATTGCATATGGTATGCTAACTTCACACACGTGGTTTTAATCCTATTATTATATTTTTTATAATAGCAAGCAAGGTACACATTTTGCAAGTTTTTTTGCGCAAAAATATGAATAGATGTGATGCAAGTTTGACAACTTAGTGATTAATTTCTCCATATTTTTGTCTATATTTATTGGACACAATTAAGACTGTGTGTCTTTTTGAAAAAAAATTAATACATTTTCTCAGTAACGCTAATAACATATATAATTTTCTTGTTGCTTAATTTTAAACGATATTTGAACTTTATATTGGCTATTCTTGCACGATTGCAGTCTTACAAAATGTATTGAAACTTTTTGATTTTCTTAACTCAAGATATTTTTGCACGCTTTTTATACTTTATTATTAAGTTTATGTATTTTTATTTTTAACACGCATGTTTCGTAAAAATAAAATATTAATATACGTTTAATCGACATATTTTTAAGGCTTAATATTAAGTGCAATATTTTTCATGAAATTAAAATACATATGATATCGTTTTGTGACATAAAAAATATATTTTTCAGAAAACTGAGTAATGGTTTTATTATTCTAATTTTTGCATTTTAACAAAGCCAAATGTGCTAATGGAGTATATTAATAAATTTTTTTTACATATAAATATGTTTACATAACATTTATTTATGTTTACAGGTTTTTTATCATCTCTCTCTCTCTCT